GTAGGTTGATTTAAAAAGCCTTTGGATTTGACAATCGGGGTCATCAGTGACCGTAGCAATTTGAGCGGTGTTATGAGGGCAGAATTCCAATTCCAGGGCATTGAGAAGAGGGTAGGTAATAAGGGTTAGGGTAAAGGCATTGTTTGTAGACCACATTCTCAGTAGGTTAAGCAGTCAAGGAAGGAATGCAATGAGATGTTAGCTGAATAGTTAGGATCTAGACAAAACTATTATTTGTGATTCAGGGAGCCAGTAATGAGGGAGAGATTAAAGATTGGTGAGACAGAGAGGGGAGACTGCTGAAGCAGGGCCTTGGGGAGGAGGTGGTGGTAGGGAAATGAGGTTAGTGTGTAGCAGAAATATCCAGAAATCTCCTGTGGGAGGAGAGAAGCAATGATGTTAAGGCTTAAGGTTGAGAAAGCTCACATCACATGAGTTGTATCACTTCAATGGAGTGTTAGCCCTTCTGCCGTTTTTATGTATTTAACTTGGCTCATCTCCTCAACGTCTTTATCCCTCCATCCATCCAGGGCAAGGTTAATCTCTAGGCTTATGACCTCCTTTGGCCCATGATTAACAGCTTTGGGCTCAGAGCTGCCCGCACCAAGCAAGGCATTTAAAACTGGGCCATTCTTGCTTGGGTCACCGGCCTCCCTGAGCTGCTTTCAATCAGCAAGCATTTATTAAGTGCCCACTGTGTGTGCCGGGCACCATGTTAGGCCGTAGAGACATAAAGACAAAAATTAAACAGTCCCTCCTCTCAAAGAGTTTACATTTTATCAGGGGGGACAGCAAGTGTGCTTTTATAAACATGGCAGCAGGTGCACCAAGCACAAGGTGATGTTTGTGAAGGAAGCAGAAGCCGTTTATGGAATCGGGAAAGGTCTCAGGGTGGAAGGTGGTGACTGAGCTGAGCTTTGGAGGAAACCGGATTCTAATGTAGGCATGAGGAACATCCAGGGCAAAGACTTGGACAAAGAAGATGCAATCTTGTGTGTGAAGAACGGTGAGACGGCCAGTGTAGTGAGAAAGAGCAGGAAGGCTGGACCAAAGAGGGTATGAAGGGGAGTGATGTGCAGTAAGGTTGGGAAGACAGGTTGGAGCCAGGTTTTGAGAGGGCTGAGATTTCAGCTCAAGCCTCAGGTCCCAAATCCACTGTTCTTTCTAAATAGAAGTTGATCCTAGAATATCAAAGCTGAGAGAGAGAATCTAGTCCAAACTCCTCATTTCATAGGGAAATGCACCTCGGGGAGCTGGGTCATGATTTACCCAAGGTCACACAATGGGTGAGTGAACTGATTCCCAACCTAATAGGGTTATAATTTTTTGAAAAATTAATTCACTTCTGAGCTAGGAAGTGCCTTGATTAGAGAGCTTGACAGGTAATTAGAGAATTGCCCAAATGAGACTATCAGAAAGACTCCTGAAGAATAATTCATGGCTCTGCCCTGTCCTGGCCATCCTAGTATTGTGACCTCACGGTTTTTCAGCTTCCGCTTTCTATGCCTCTCTGGCCACACATAGGTTGTGTCCCCTCTTTGACCTCACCCTCAAAATTGCAATTCAACCACGTTTTCTTCCACTCACCCTCCTCCGCTTTCACTCTCATGAATACACCTTTTCACCCTCATCACTAAGACTAAATATAGAATCACAGAATTTCAAAGTTGAAAGAGAGCTCAACCACCATCTAGTTCAGCCTGTCCCTCAAAAAGAATTCTGGCTACCACAGACCTGACAAGTGTTCATCCTTTGCTTGAAGACTTCTGTGGGGGCAGCTGGGTGGTGCAGTGGATAGAGACCACCGGCCCTGGGGTCAGGAGGACCTGAGTTCAAATCTGGCCTCAGACACATGACAGTTACTAACTGTGTGACCCTCGGCAAGTCACTTAACCCCATTGCCTAGCCAAAAAAAAAAAAATCTTCTGTGAAGGGAAGCCCACTAAAGAAGGAGACAGCTCTTTCTGATTTCTGGACAACTCTGTCTGGTTGTTAGAAAAATTGTTTTTTCTGACATTAAGCCTAAATATACCTCTTTGCGGCAGTGAACAGGAGTTCCATTGCTCCATTCTTCTGGAGCCAAACAGAATGAGTTGAATCCCTTTTCCATTGGCAGTCTTTCATAAACTTGAGGATGACTATCCTGTCCCCACTGAATGTTTTCTTCTGTAGGCTAAATTCCTTCAACCAGTCCACTCAAGGCCCTTCACCATTCTGGTTGCCCTCCTCTGGGCATTCTGAAGTTTATCAGTGTCCCCCCTATAATGCGGTGCTCAGAAATGAACACAGTTGTGGTCTGACTGGGACAGAGTACAGAGGGACGATTAGCGTACTGTGTGCCAGGCGCTGTGCTAAATGCTGGCGATACAAAGGCAAAACTTAGCAATCTCTTCTCTAGGAGTTCATAGTTTAATGGGGGAGACAATGGGTAAACAACTATGTACAAACAAGCTATAGACAGCATAAATAGGAGATAATCAAAAGGAGAAAGGTGCTAGAATTAAGAGGGGCTGAGGAGGTGCGATTTTGACTGGAACCTGAAGGAAGCGAGGGAAGCTAGAAGGTAGAGATGAGGAAGGAGAACATTTCAGGCGTGGATGACAACCACGGAAATGCCCGGCATCAGGAGACTGAGTGTGGTGTTTGAGGAAGAGTAAGGAGGCCACTGACTTGCTTGAGAGCATGTAGGGGGGTGTTGTACGATATAAGAAGACTGCAAAGGCAGGAAGGACTCTGAATGCCAAAGAGAGGGTTTTATATTTGATCCTGGAGGGGTACCGAGTAATCTCTTCCCCCAGCGGCAACCAGGTCTCCAGTCACCAAATATAGCGAATGATTTAGCTTCTAACTTCACTGAAAAGATGAGGCTCTCTAAAGTGAGGTCTCATGTATCTTCAGTCTTCCCTTCAATAGCTCCTTCCTACGTGTGGAAAAATGCTCTCAATTCTGAAAATACCTTTGCTCAGCCCTTCTACCATCACCTGACTCCTGTCCCATCTACTGTCCTCTCATTCACTGATAAATTATTTTTTTAACTTTATTTTTTTTACTTACTATTTTGTTTCTTCCCCCAATTACATATAAAAACAATTTTTAACATTCATTTTTATTTTAACCTGGAAAGACTTCCATGCACTGATGCAAAGTAAGTGAGCAGAACCAGAACATTGTACACAGTATCAGCAACATTATGCAATGATCAGTTAGGATAGCCTTAGTTCTTCTCAGCAATACAATGATCCAAGACAATTCCAAAAGACTCATGATGGAAAATGCTATCCACCTCCAGAGGGAGAACTGATGGAGTCTGAATACAGATCAAAGCAGACTATTTTTACTTTTTTTTTTTTGCAGTTTTTTTTTCCCTTTTGTTCTGTTTCTTCTTTCACAACATGACTAATATGGAAATATGTTTTAATGATTGTATATATATAACCTATATCAAATCACTTACTGTCTGAAGGAAGGGGGAGGTGAGGGAGGGAGAAAATTTAGAACTCAAAATTTTATATGAAAAAAATGAATCTTAAAAACTGCCTTTGGGCAGCTAGGTGGCGCAGGAGATAGAACTCCGACCTTGGAGTCAGGAGGACCTGAGTTCAAACTTGACACATGACACTTACTAGCTGTGTGACCCTGGGCAAGTCACTTAACCCTGATTGCCTTACTGGGGGAAAAAAAAAAGGGGGTAGCTAGGTGGTACACTGGATAGAGCGCTGGCACTGGTGTCAGGAGGACCTGAGTTCAAATCCAGCCTCAGACCAAACACTTGATACTTACTAGCTGTGTGACCCTGGGCAAGTCACTTAACCCCCAATTGCCCCTCCCCCCAAAAACCTGCCTTTACCTGTAATTGAAAAAATAAAATACTATTTAAAAGAAAAAAAAGTCTTTTTTTGAGTTCCAAATTCTCTTCCTGTATCCCTCCCCTCCCCATCTCATAGAGAAGGCAAGCAATTTGGTGTAGGTTATATACATGCCATTCACTGATAACTTCTTGAAAAAAGTTGTCTATACCTGGTGCCTCCTCGACTTCCCCAGCTGCTCTCTCCCTCCATCACTAAGACCACCCTGTCCAATGATATTTTTTCAGTCTTCAGCCTTCGTGACCACGCTACCAAAGTTGAGACTGTTGACCACCCCACTTACTAAATTTTCCCTCCTTACTTGGCCTTCAAGATGCAGAACCATAGAATTTGAGCTTTGGAAGGGACCCCAGTGGCTTTCTGGCCCCATGCCTCATTCTTTGGGTTTTCTCTCTTCTAATCTCCAGTCAAATCTAATTCTTCTCTCTGCCCCTCCCCCCCAACATAACATCGCTCTTCCTGCCTTTTCCTTGGTTTCCCTTAATCCTATTCCTTTTTTTTGGCTTTTTTTTTGTGAGGCCATGAGGGTTAAGTGACTTGCCCAAGGTCACACAGCTAGTAAGTGTCAAGTGTCTGAGGTAGGATTTGAATTCACGTCCCCCTGACTCCAAGGCCAGAGCTCTATCCACTGCTCCACCTAGCTGCCCCAATCCTATTCCTTTTCCTGGAATGTCTTCTCCCTCCCTTTTACATGCTGACTTACTCTCTCCTAGTCTCAGTTTCTGAATTTGTAAAATGGAAATAAAAAACCTAATGTGTTATAGTGGTGACTCTTTTTGTGTATAGATTGGACCAGGGGGCAGTGAGGTGTTGTTCAACTCTGAAACTGTGATAATGATGAGTGTATGATATAGATGAGTCAACTCAGGACCCCAGAAATGGAATGGAGAAATTACTTTTAACAAAATCAAATTAAATTTTGTTAATTAAATAAAATCAAAATAGAATACAACATAGATAATTTCAATTTGTGATTTGCTGAGTCAACATACAGCCCACAGGGATGCGTTTGGCCCCATTGCCTTATAGTACCTGCTTCATAGAACTAGCAAATGAAGGTGTATGTAAGTGCTCTGTACACTTTAAGTAGAAACCTAGACATATCAGGTGCTTGTTTTCCCTTTGATCCAGACCTGTGATTTCATTGGTAGAGAAAGGAAACTCCCTCCACCAGTGAGAACCAATACCTGCTCTGCAGTTTATAGAGTGGAAAGTTGCTGAGGCAAAGTTACCTTGAGAGGGTAAGTGACTAGGCCAGGGTCATACAGCCAGCGTGTCAAAGGCCACACTTGAACCCAGGTCTTCCTGACCATGAAGCCAGCTCTTTATCCACTCCTCTGCCATACTACCTCTCCAGATATTATAATAAAATTCCTATTCATCCTTTGAAACCCAGCTCCAAAGCCCCTTCCTCCAGAAAGCCTTCCCTGGTCTATGCCTGGAATAGTCTTTCTCCTCTTCTCTATCTTCTCCAGTCCCAGCTAAAATCCTACCTTCTATAGGAAGCCTTTCCTATTGCTCTTATTTCTAGTGCCTCCCTTCAGTGAATCCTATTCAGTTTATCCTGTTTGTTGCTTGTTTGTGCGTGGTTGTTTGCATGTTGTCTCCCCCGTTAGATTGTGAGCTCCTTAAGGTTGGGGAATATTTTTTTTCTGTCCCCAGCACTTAACACAGCGCCTGGAGTATAGTAGGTGCTTAATAAATGCTTGTTGACCTACTGATCCATTGGTCAGTAATGACCTTGCCCCCTGACCTCCCGTAGTGCTCTGTTTCCTCCTCTGTCATGCACCTAAGCCCACATTATTAGGACACACACACACACACACACACACACACACACACACACACACACACACACACACAGAGTCATGATCACACGACCATTACTGCTAAACAGGATTTGAGACCTCAGTTGGGCTTCAGCTTGGTGGGCAGGTGGGGGAGTTTATTCTACAGTATGACAGATATACACAGGTATGTGTCCGAAGATGACTGCACTCCCTTTGGTTTTCCAGTGGCTCGAGGACTCTCTCCCCAGCCGTGGCACCACCCTCCTCCCCACCCCCCAGTTACAGGCTATGTGACCACTGCCCTTGGCCCAAGAGCCCCAGCCCTCTGCCGTCTCATCCCCATCTGGGAAGGGGAGCCCTGGATCTGGACAGCTCTGGCCTGGGTATGCCCAGCTCTGGATGGGGGAGGAGGGGGTACATTTAAATATTCACACAGAGCTGAGGGGGAGAAGCCTGAACTGCTGGCCTGAGTGTGGACGCTTCTACCCCAGAATGTCGGTGACCAGTCTATCCTGTAAAAGGGACTGAGGCTAGGAACCTCCCTCTCTCCATCCGACGTGTCCGGAGGATGGAGAGTCGAGAGGAGAAGAAGAGAGGGTGAAGAAGTTTATCTGGATGTGGGAGCACAGGGGGAAAAGTCTGAGGTCCAAGGTAAGAAAGAGGCCCTCGGATCTCTCTGGGGTCTGCCTGATTCTTCTTTCCCCTCATGGCTCCTTCATTTGGAATTTCCCAAGATGCTTGGCCGTAGACTACCAGCCCGCTGACCCCCTCATGTCCTCTGGGCTGGGGGACTGGGTATCCATCAAAGGGGATGGGGTGACCATTGGGCAAGGGAAGCAGGGCCCACCCCCTGTCGCTCTGGCCTGGCTCAGGGCCCCTTGATGGTCCCGGGTTCCATGAGGCGGGCAGAAGCATAGGCCGAGGCCCCAAGGCAAGCTGCAGGGTCACAGTAGCCTGGGAGCCCCACGGGACCAGGCAGGCCTGGTCGACCTGCCTCTCCTGGGGCACCCGGTGATCCACGGTCTCCATCTTTGCCATTGATGGCCTGGCCTGGCCGGCCAGGAAGTCCTGAGTTTGGGGGAGGGAAGAGAACATTAGCATCCCATCAAACCCCAATTCAATCTTCTATCTTTTGTCCCCAGATTTCCAACCACTTTTAGGACATCCCATTGCTCAGAGGGGGAAAACTGAGGCTGTGGACACCACACAAGAACAGGACCCTGCCCAGGTAACCTGCTTGGCCGGAAACTTCTCCAGGATTGAGCCGGGGTCTCCTGAAATTTTCTAAGTGGCTCCTCAAATCTGGGCTGTGGCAGAGGTGGTCATGAAAGAAAAAACTACCTCCCCTGCCCCTTAGAGCTCCTCCCCAACTGCCATGTCTCCACAGGTCCCCTCCATTCCCACCTGATCCCACTCTAATGCAGAGTGGCCAGGCCTTTGCCTCGGGGGTGGTGGGGAAGGAAAGGAATGAGGAGTGGGGTGAAGCCGGCTGCTGTCCCACCCTTGTCACTCACCTGGGATTCCTGGAGGCCCCGGCTGCCCGGGATGCCCATGACCCTCATCCCCTCGTTCTCCTTTCTCTCCGCGTTTCCCTGCCAAGAGCAAAGGAGGCTCTCAGAGCTCGGCTCCCCCTGCCCAAGGCCAGCAGGGAGGAGCCAGGAAGGAGCAAGGCCAGGGCCAGAGGAGAGGTTCCGAACCCAGGGCCCTGTTTCCTCATCAGATGATGTCTCTCCCTTCCAAGTAAGAAGCCCCAGATGAGCCTTGGAGGAAAGCTAGGAAGGAGAGCAGGCAGCTGGGGGAGGGGGGTGAGGAGGGGATATGGGCACCTACATACAGGTGCCCCAAAGCATAGCAGGAGCCCTCCATCCAGCATGCCACTTCTGTGCAACAAACATGTTGTTTGTTGTTATCATTCCCTTTTTTATGGTGTGCAGGCCAAGATGGCCTTAGGACAAGTAGCTCTACTATTATCCTTAGCAGTCTTATTGTCACTATTTTTTTCAGTAAGCATTTATGAAGCCCCTGCTATATAATATATATGCATGTGAGTGGGGGGGGGCACTGCGCTGGGTGATAGGAATACAGGTACAAAAGTGAACCAATTCCTGCCCTCTAGGAGCTTATATTCTACAGGAGGATGCAACATGCTTACAGAGAGTAAGTACAGGATATATACAAATGAATACACTGGGGTTTTGGTGGGGAGGCATTAACACCTGGGGAAATCAGGAGAGACTACTTGAATAGCACTCCAAGGCTTACAGAATGCTTCCTCCACAACAACCCTGTGAGATAGGGAGAGTAAAGGTTGTTATCCTTGTTTTTTCAGATGAGGAAACTGAGGCCCCAGTAGGCCATATGGTAGAGCCAAGACAAGAACAATCCAGGTCCTCTAATTCCCTCAGCACAGTGCTGGGCACAAAGCAGGTTGTTGACTGATTGACTGCCTCTGAGTCCAACACACCTGGCCCTTCCTGTGCGCCTTGGAACCAGTCCCAGCTCCCAGGCTCCTTGCAGGGCCCTTTTGCTTACTTACCCTTTGGTCCTGTGTTGCCGATCTGTCCCACAGCGCCAATGATACCAGGGATGCCTCGGGGGCCTGGGTGTCCGTGTGGCCCTTGCTTACCCGGGTACCCAGGAGGGCCCGGGGGACCTGGGGGGCCCATTCCTCCTATGCCACCCAGGGCCTCTCGCTTGGCACTTACTGCCACCTCGGCCAGTTGTTCTGGAAAGTAAGGAGAAGAGGAGGGTGAGGAAGCTGGTGCTGACTTGACTTGGTGTGGGCGATACTCCAGATCACTGCCCCCATTAGACAGGGGAAAAAACTGAGGCCAAGAGAGGGGCAGAGACTGCCCGACAAGGCCTTTGCCCAAAGGCACCTCGTCAGATCCTTCAGAAAGGGGCCCTATAGACCATGAAGGGGGAAGATGATGGGGATGCCTGTTCTTCTTAAGGGCCTGCAGATCCCACGCAGTCATCCCAGGATCAAATAAGGAAAAATTTGTAAAGTGCCTTGCACACTGCCAGGTACATAGTGGGTGCTTTATAAATGCGTGCTCTACCCCCTTTCCCTCTCACTCACCCTGCAGCATCTTCAGTACCACATCTACGATGTGCTGGTCACTGGTGTCCCGGCCCTGGAAGCCCAGAACAAATAAGTAGGAATGAGACACCCCCTGGTTCTGAGGGCCTCCCCAAACCCAACCTCAAAAACCCAGGTAGTCCTTACAGCCTGGGCTCCCAGAGGTCACGGGAAGCCCGTACTCCAAGGGAACATCCCGCCCCTCCTGCTTCCAGGCCTGGCTCCCCTGATCCCCATTGGATTGTGTTTCCTGACGGCAGGGACAGCCTTCTTTTTCATATTGGTATCACTAGTGCTTAGCACAGTGCCTGGCACACAGTGGGTGCTTAATAAATGTATATTGACCAGCTGACTTCAGTTCCTCATGCTGTGGCTCAAACCCATTCCTGGTGTAGATGCTGCCAAAGTGGAGATCGGCCGGGACGCAATGTCTCTCCCAAGATGGGCTTGCAGGATGTGACCCAGCCTCTCCAGTGATCGCCAGGAATCTCAGAGACAAGTTCTGCCTGGCCTCCTCTATCACTCTCTAAGTGAGGTCTTAGAGAAGGAATATTGGCTTTGGCCTGTTTCTCCTCTACCTGCAGCCCAAGGATGAGGGAGGAACTCACCGCCACGCCTTGTCTTCCAGGCAGACCTGGGATGCCCCTTTCTCCAGTGATCCCCCGAGGCCCTGGGGGTCCTGGGTAACCCTGCACTCCAGGGGCTCCTGCATCCCCCATGGGACCAGGGAAGCCTGTCTCCCCACGAATGCCTTGCTGTGGTAGGGAGAAGAGGGTGGGGCCCACAGTGGGAACCGTGGGAAGGAGAATAAAGTCAGAGTAGGCATTAATGTATCCCTCCACTCTCATTCCCATCCCCAAGACTTGGGGGAAACAAGGGAGAAAGAAGGGACAGAAAGAGGGGAATGGAAAGGATGAGAAGATAAGGAAATTGAGGCCCAGAGGTGAAGCAATTGCTCAAGGTTATCCTTACTCTATGTGTGACCTTGGGCAGGTCACTTACCTCTCTAAACCTTAGTTTTCTTATCTGCAAAGTTATGGCGTTTGACTAGAAGTTCTCCAATGCCCCTTCTAGTTCTAAATTCTATAATGGTAGGGGGAGAGAGGCAGAGGAAGAACATGAAGCAGGAATGTGCTAGTAAATGTTTAACAACCAGCTCCTGGAAAAAATATTTACACACAACACACTTTTAAGTTTAATTTGCGTTATTAACATTTTCTCTATCATTTTCTTATGTCTAGACAATCAACAAAACAATGAATTGAGCCCAGATTTGTAGTGTTTGCCAATTTCTGATGCATAACTGCTCATACTGAACATTTAACAACTGGCTCTAGTAAACCATTTTGAGCTGGTTCCAGCATATCTCTTTATGCAGCCGAAGTATAGCGAGCAGAAGAGGAAAGAAATGAGAGGAGGGCATAAAAAGGAAGAAAAAGGAAAGACAGAGAGGGAGGGAAGAGGAGCTAGCAGGATGGGTAGAGAGATGGTCTGATGGTCACCCACCTGTCCCTTGGGGCCTGGTTCTCCAGACTCTCCCTAGAGGGAAACAAAAAAGTCACTTTTTCAATGGGAGCCATGGGGACCCTCTCCTGGAACCACTTCCTCTGCCCCATCAAACTTCCTTTTCAGAGCTGGGCCACAGCTTTTGACATTTCAGATCCCAGGGCTGAGACCTGGGTCTCCCTCTGCCCTTGGGGATCTCTCAGGGACCAGCCATGTCCTCGGACCTGCTCACCTTCTCTCCTTTCTCCCCAGGGAGACCTTCCATACCTGGATCACCCTGTAGAGGAAAGACCCAATCAGGTGGCAGACAGGACAGTAGGAGAAGGGAGTAGAAGGAATTGGTGCCAAGCTAAGCCTTACTCCCACCTCTCCTAATGGCTCCATTCTCCATGGAGTCTCTCCCTCCCTCATTTTCCCCTTCCTTGGGAGAGCCCTATCTGAAAGTGGAGGTGAACCAGGGGCCTACCTTGGGGCTGCATGCACTAAGGTACTTACTTTGCTCCTCCTGGTGGCAGCTGGAAATATTGCGGTGAAAGGAATCAGGGCCCCTCTGGGTCCCATGCTAAGAGCTATTAAGCTAGTTCCAATCTCTCTTCCTCTTTACGGTTCACAAAGCATTTTCTTCATGAACCATATGAGGTGGGCAGTACAAGTATCCTCGTAAGTGAATTCACTATCCTCAAATAGTGAATAAATTCGAAGTAGAATATGAAACTCAGGCCAGGGAGGGATTTTCCCATTGTACCATGCTGCTTATCAGCTGTCATGGTGGCAGATAGGGTACCCAAGGCATCCAGAACAGCCAGGGTGCAATAGGTGCAGCACTAACAGGTGGTAAGAGAAAATGGGACAAATAGAACTGGACTCTTACTGCCCAGAACTGACCAGGGAGTCCCTGAGAAAAGGCACAGACTGGCCCAGTCCTTCTGCTACCCCCGCCTCTCCCCTCCTGTGCAGGTACTCACACTACTGCCTCTGGAACCGATCTTCCCTGGGAAGCCCTGTTGGAAAAGCAAAGTGGGGAAGGGGGTAATCCTTGATCTCTGGACTCTGCAAATCACCCCAGTCTCCCCAGCTTGGTACCTTCCCCCACCATACATCCTCTGGGAGGCCTCTAGAATCTCCTGAGAAGCTCAGGGTCCCTCCTTCTGTTCCCAGCCTGGTTTCTTAGCTCCCTGTCTCCTGTCTGGGATCCTGACTCCATCCCTGCCCCACAATCTGTGCTCCTGGCCTCTGGCTTCCCCATTGTGTCCCCATGTTCTTGGACCCATTTGTTACCTTGTTTCCTTTGACGCCTGGCAGACCTTGGGGACCCGGGATCCCTGGAGGCCCCTGTTCCCCCTTGGCACCCTGAAGAGAGAAAAAACTCAGTGCAGAGAATGGGGGACTCTCAGGTCTCGAGGCCATGTAAAGGCCCATGGTAAGAAGGTCTGGGGTGAGGGTAGAAATGAGCTGTAGAAGACACCCCAAAGGCCAGGTGTGTTCTCCTTCCTCTTGCTCCCGCTACCCTGGGCTGTGCGTCATGACTGAATGATAGCCCTCCCTTCTCCATCCTCCGGCCCACGCAGGGTTCACACACTTACAACTCTGCCTTGTAGGCCTGGCTGCCCCACGGGCCCTCTCTCGCCTTGGTCACCCTGAGACGATGGAACAGAGAGGGTCATTAAGGAAGCCAGAGAAACCCAGCGCCACCCAACCTCTCCCACCCCAACCACAGATGCAGATGTGGCTCAGCAAGGCTGGGTAGAGGGACCCTGCCTATGTCAGGTCATCTTTATTCTCACGGCATATAATAGCAGTTCTTTTTTTCTATTGAAGCGTACTGAATCCTTTATGTATACTCTATCACCTGCTCCCCAAAACAACCCTGGGAGGGAAGCAGCACACATGGTGTTATCCAGTTTTATGGATGAGAAAACAAACCCAGAGAGGTTAAGTACTTTAGCCACATGGCAACTAAGGAGATGAGTCTGGCCTTGGACCCAGATCCTCCAAGGCCCCTCCCAGGGCTCTGTCTGCTAGGGAGCCTCACTCCAGGGGGCTCTAGACAGAGAAAGCCACCTCCCTAGAGACACACAGCAAACCCTCAGGGGGGAAACGGGATCTTACAGAACCCTCCCAAGGAGAATTTAACCACTCCCTTCTTACCTTCAGCCCTGGGATGCCCTGAGGGCCAATTTCTCCTTGAGGCCCAGGTTCACCCTGGGGGACAGAGGTGGGGTGCAGTTAGTACCGCAGGGACTGCAGCCCTGCCCATGTGCCTGGGATACCTTACTCTGCCTAATGACAGAATCACTGGAGCTGCAAGTGACCTTGCAGGCTATCGGGCCCAATTCCCTCATTTTGCAGATGAGGAAAAGTGAGGTACATGCAGATTAAGTGACTTGCCCAGGGATACACAGCTAGTAAGTATCTGAGGTAAGATTCAAAGCCAAGTTCAGCATTCTATCCACCTCCTCCAGAAAGCCCTCCTGGATTAATTAGGTAAGGGCCAACACGGGCCCTGACCCCATCCTGCCTGGACCCAGAGCTCTCAGGGCAGATTTCCCTCCCAAGTTGTACTTAGCCCAGACATTAACACTCCCCCATCTTGGTCTTCTGCTTTTATTCAGTCCTCTACTGGTTTATATGTTGGTACGTATATGTTGGCACAAAATGTTAGCAAGGAACTCGGAAATCATCAAATCCAATCTTGTTTTTATGGAAGAGGAAATTAGAAGGGGAGGGAATTATTGATCTAGAACCCAGAGACTAGGCTTTAATGTAAACTTTCTAAGCCCCTGGCCCTGGCGTAGCCCGCCTGCTCTGTGTTCACTAGCCCATTGCATCATAAGGGCAGGCAGAGGCTGGGGGTGTGCGATCTCTTCTATTCAAGTGTAATATCTGCTTCTTTTGGGGACAATCACTCGAGCAGCTTCACTTACCGGCTTCCCGGGGGGGCCAGACAATCCTGGGAAACCCCTCTGGCCAGGCTCACCCTGTGGAAAAACCGAGCAGAGGCAGCTCAGCCCTGGCCTCAGCTCCAGACTGGCCAC